TTTTGATGCTGTCAAGTTTTTTTTTTGATAGCCTTTCCTAGTGGCAGTTCAAGTATAACTACCAGATCCAACGTTCAATATTTTTTTAACATAGGACAAAATGCGATTTGAACGTCCAGGAAAGGTTCATTAGAAAGACAATTGCATATAGTCTTCTGCGCCACCACTGAGCGCCACCTTTATCTCAATTCATAAAAACATGGTCAAATTGCATTTTCAAAGTCTGCTCTTCAATTGAATAAACCAAAACGACAGCTGAAGTGTTTTGAATTTGATTACCCGGTCCATTCTCCGTTAAGCAACTTTAATTATTTAACATAATTTTTCATGTTAAAACAACAAAGAAATTTTAGTGATAAGAAAGTGGTTAAGTAGAGCTGTTACTACTGGTTGGTACTCAAGGGAATACAAATGAGTTTTCCTAAGTGAATCTCTTTTGTATTTGTTTTTAAAATGTGTTTCAAGGAAGCACAAGATTTACTAATGGAACGTGTAATTCGTGTAAGAGTACGTGCGAACGTGTGCACAAGAGTAATCAAGAGAATTCTAATTGCTTAAGTAATGTTACATTTAGACATTTTAATACAAACTGCAACTTTATTCAAAAATGTTTTTTCAAAATTGTATTTCAAAAATTATTAAATTGTTTAAAGTCAAGAAATACAAGGTGAATCATTTATAATAAATGCAATAAGCCACCTGATTTATTTTGTTGGTACATTCTACGATTACCTTCAGTTAGCTTGTAGGTAATAGTTGTTATGATAACAGTTGCACACGAAGCAACTGACTTATTGCATTCAACATCAGCAGAACGTGATGAGAAAGCATTTGCTGAGAACATTTTCAAAAAAAAAAGTTCAGAAAGCTAGAACAAAGTGAACAAGTTGGAATCTGAATAGAAAGTGATTTCATTTGAAAAAGATTTGCTCTTATATTTAAAGCAACTGCTTTAAACTTCTAGATCCTTTTTATTCAATTATCAGTGATCATTTTTAGAACAAAAAAACTCTTTATTTGTTTTAATTAGTACGTAGGTACTCTTTGTTTGTTTTAAGTAAAGAAACAGTTTTTAGAAAAAAGAAGGTGCATTTGACCATTTTTAAGCAAAAGAAGAGTCTTAAAACAAATATTCCATAAAAATGCAATTTTAAGTAAGATTAACATGTATTTCTCCTATATGGCGCAATGCCTGAATAGCAAACCTTAACTTCAAAAAATCATATCTTGAAAACTACTTGGTATATTATTTTAAAAATTTAGATACTTACTAATAAAAAGATGCTCTACACGATGGTGACAAAGAAAAAAAAAAATTACTCGTAGGGTTTTTCTTAGATTACTTCGATTTACTTCGAACTTCTTCGAACACTGTTCGAAGAAAAGTTGGCCAATATTCAATTTCAAATTGCATATCATTCTAAAGGGCAAGTCTATCCCTTTAGAATGGTCTTTATTTGAAGAAAATCGGCCTAATGGTTATTGAGTAATGATTTTTTAAAGTTAAAGTATTTTAAATTCATTTAAATTAGAAAAAAATATATTTATTTCAAATTGTGTGGACTTTTTGAATTTTTTTTTAGTGCATTTTTTTTTGTCTCACTGAGACGAACAAAATGATATAAAATTTGTCAAGTTGTCACGACATGACTTTGTTTTTGTCGCCCTATGTAATACGAGTATATCTACTATTTTATCCGCAAACCATTCAGGTGGAGAGAAGAGAGCAACAATAATCAGGACGGTTCAGAATAAAATGATAACAAACGTCACGCGTCACTTTCTTAATTTGTGTTGAGATTTTTGCAAGTGTTGATTGATTTAACTAGTGAATAATCAGTGTAGTTTCTAGTGCGTTTCTATATATCAAATATTGATAATATCCTACTTTTTACAATGGCGAGCATTAAATTTCAGTAGGAGTCAGTGTCATTCCCTAATATACTCTCTTGTCAAAGTTACACAGGGAAACTACTTTTTTTGACAAAAAAATGAAATGGCATTAGGTACCTACCAAAATTTTGTGCTTGCCATTGTAGGTCTCCAAAAAAATTTATCAAACGATAAATCGTTTCAGAAACCGACCCTTAGTCATTAAAACGTCATTTTTCTGACGTTTGCGTTTTATTTAAATGAAGACATATACAATTAAATACAGGATGCGCCAGAACTCGCGCCCTAGAGAAAAATGCCATATAAGGTAAGATACCAGGAACATGGAAAAAATGTTAAAAAAAATTTATCTATAAAAATTTAGAAGTTATGAGGGTTTAAAGTTTGCACTTTGACTCTATTTATTTCTGTTGGAAAAATAATTTTCCAAGTTTTTTTGCTATAGGCTATTAAAAGAGGAACCAAGGAAGCTGTATCCTAAATTGTAACTCTGTTCAATGTTATTTGTGCTTTTATTGGCAAAATTTTTGTCTCTTTACTAAATAATTGTAAAAAACATATACAAGATCATCAGTATCATTAAATAGATATAAAAAAATGTCAAATGTAAAAATAAATGTCAAAATTTTTTAACAGATAGAATTTTTTAAACATTTTTTTCATCTTCCTGGTATCTTATCTTACTTGAAATTTTTCTCTGGCGCGAGTTCTGGCGCACCCTGTATACACGAAATGTAAAAGACAAAGTTGTGGAGCATTAATTAAAGCAAGTAAATTGACATGTGCCAATAAATAAAACAAAATAACAAAAAAATTATTTAATCAAAAATAATTCAATTTGTGATATTAAATGTGTAAGTGTAATGTGTAAGTCTTTGCAATTTGCAATGTTATTTGTGTCTTTTATTGGCAAAATTTTTGTACTCAAATAATTGTAAAAAAACATACAAGATCATCAGTATCATTAAATAGACATAAAAATGTCAAATGTCAAAAAATAAATGCCAAAATTTTTTGACAGATACAATTTTTTAAACATTTTTTCTGGTATCTTATCTTAATTGAAATTTTTCTCTGGGGCGCGAGTTCTGGCGCACCTGTAGGTATAGTTACAAACGAGTCCCGTAGATAGGCTACCGGCCGGTAATAGACTACTACCGGCCTTGTCCAGTACCTAAATTTTATTTAACGAACTCGTTTGTAACTATGCTAGTTACCAATTCAGTATCGTAAAAAGTTACAAACTTCAGGCGAAGCAAAAATTTCTGTTCTGTTCATTCTTTTAATTTATGGTTTTCAGTAAAATTTTTGCTGAATCTTCTTCTTTCTGTTTGTATTATCATCTTTTCAATTTAAATAAAGCAATTTTTTAATTTGTTGCTCTTAAATTGTAGACACATTATCAGGGCCGTAACCAGGATTTTATTTCGGGAGGAGTTTCTTGTTGGTCCATGAAAATGAATGAAATAAAAGAAGGCGGATTAAAAAGCAAAAATCTCTAAGTACACGTTTTTATTTTAAATTGAAATAAGAGATCCTAATTAAACATAAAAAAATACAAATTAACTCACAAAAGTAACAAAAAATAAAATAAATTTTTAATACTTTTTATTGTTACAAATTTAAACATTTTTTTAAAACAAAAATTTTCTATGAACATATATCGGGAAATGCTACGCAAGGGGTGCGTCTTTTAATAGGTTTTTTTTCAATATTTCCGAAATCATTTTAGAAAAAAATTCAAAATTTGGTACAGATGATAACTTTTATACACCTAAACAAGTACAAAAATAAAATCTTGAAATTTTTAATAAGGGGCTTCCTAAACTAGATGGGATTAGGGTAAAAATTTATTGTAACTATTTTGCCTGTGGTTTCTTGCCACTTTCAGCAACAAAATTTCATAGTTTTTCATAAAAAAGGTCTTTTGTGTTTTTCCGATACAATTTACGGATTTTTAGTAAAAATCGGTTTAAAAATTTATGTTACCCACCATAAACAGCATAAAAATTAAATTTGTTTTACCGTTTAGGACGCCCCTGATTAAAAATTTTGTTATTTGGCATTTGTTTAGGTGTGTACATACAGGTGCGCCAGAACTCGCGCCCCAGAGAAAATTTTCAAGTAAGGTAAGATACCAGGAACATGAAAAAAATGTTTAAAAAATTCTATCTGTCAAAAAATTTTGACTTTATTTTTTGACATTTGACATTTTTTATATCTATTTAATCATACTGATGATCGTGTATATGTTTTTTTTACAGTTATTTAGTAAACGGACAAAAATTTTACCAATAAAAGCCACAAACAACATTGAACAGAGTTACAATTTAGCATACAGCTTCCTTGTTTCCTCTTTTAATAGCCTATAGCAAAAAAACTTGGAAAACTACTTTTCCAACAGAAATAAATAGAGTCAAAGTGCAAACTTTAAACCCTCATAACTTCGAAATTTTTATAGATAAATTTTTTTTAACATTTTTTCCATATTCCTGGTATCTTACCTTATATGACATTTTTCTCTGGGGCGCAAGTTCTGGCGCACCCTGTATAAAGGTACCAAATTTTGTAATTTTATCTATTCTGAAATATTAGGAAAAACCCTTTAAAAAACGTACCTTTTTTGGGGGGTGTAGCTCCCTTTCATGGCATTTTTCGAAACACTTTTTTTAAACCCCCTAATCCCACCCCTTGGGTACGGCCCTGCACTATCACTATCACTATGACAATCTGCATTTTTTAAACTGAACGTAAGACTATGTTCAGAGTTATAAAAATGTCTTTGTATGTATGTACAAAACTGATTAAAACTTCATGCTATTCCTTTTGCTTATTTTTATGAGATTCGATCCTAAACCTATGCAACCAATTAAACATTACAATAAGTAACTTATAAGAACATCATTACACATTTTGGACATCTGTTGAAATAATAATAATAACAATAACTTGCTTGTGCTTGTAGAAATAAGGTATAAGTTGCAAAATGTAGATTTTTTTTTATAATAATAGTCAAAGTGATAAGGAAAATATTGTGTTTTTGCTCATAAAGTCATGATGCGGGAGTCTAATCTTTCTTTCTTTGACGAATCAACGAGTCAGTAAACGCATTTATAAAGATTATCTCAACAGTTCCAATACTTCCTTATTTTTCCATTTCTTCCATAAAAGTAGACAATAACTCGCGCTCAACCTCCGTACACATTTCCCATTGTATAAAAGGATTACTGTGTTATTGCCACGATCGTGCTGCAACCTTTCGTATTTTTTTCTATTTTGTCCAGGTCAAAGTCACATTTCTCATCATACAATAGTAACAGCAATAACATCCCCAATGCGAAACCACAAATTATCTAATCAGGGCCTGTACTTTGAGGTTATGCCGCAACATCTGACCTTAAAATAGTTAAAATGTATTTAGATTAGTATAAGCCGATAGACAGACAGTAAATATCGCAGGCAACAAATAAGATTATGTCGTTTCCAAAAGAACATCCTCGAAATTTAATCCCGGAATTGTGCCGCCAATTTTACCACTTAGGTTGGGTCACCGGCACAGGTAAGCAAGCCGTCGTTTAGCCCCCCATTCCACTCATTTAAATTTACAACTAACAGGGGGTGGAATCAGCATCAAACATGGGGATGAAATCTATATAGCACCCTCAGGAGTACAAAAAGAGCGACTACAACCTGAAGATCTGTTCGTCCAAAATATTAAAGGGGAAGATTTGCAATTACCACCCCCAGAGAAGAAACTGAAGAAAAGCCAATGCACCCCCTTGTTTATGTGTGCTTACACAGCGCGAAATGCGGGGGCTGTTATTCATACTCATTCGAAAGCAGCACTTTTGGCTACATTGTTATTCCCCGGGCAGGAATTTAAATGTTCGCATTTGGAAATGATAAAAGGAATAAAAAATCAAAAGACAGGCAAAAACCTAAGGTACGATGACACATTGGTGGTCCCGATTATTGAAAATACGCCGTTTGAGGAGGATTTGAAGGATAGGCTTGCGCAAACTATTGCCGAGTATCCCGAAACTTGTGCAGTTCTAGTACGTCGTCATGGGGTAAGATAAAATTCTTCTAAAATAGTTCTAATAGTAGAGGGAGTTGCTGAGTACCGACGCAGGAGGGCCTTCATCGTCCCGCGATCGTTATGGTCCTTAACAGCACATGATACGAGTAGCAGATTCAGTTGTCGAATTTGTATTACACTTATCAAAATGATTTTTGCATTGAAAACTTTTTTGAAATTCTAGCTTAATTTCGTCTCGATTATGTATTGGTCTACCTTGTAAAATAAAAATTTTTCTTGCATCTCGAAAATTTTACTACACAAATTTGACATGTTACAAGAAAACTGTAGTTTTCTCAGTTCTGTTTTATCAAAATTTTAATTCCGTTGTAATCTACATTAATTGAGAAACATTTTAATAAAAAAATGAACTTTGTAGCTATATCCAGAGGGAAGATACAGGAATGTAAACACATAATTTGCGCAATTTTAGGTTTTAAAAAATTTTCACAAAAACTTTTCATAATGAAGGCAATTTCAAATCAAAAAACGACTTACGGATTCGAATTCAGCAAAACTTTTTACATAAGAATCAGTTTTCAAAAATCCTCGGTTTGCAAAAACTCTCTAATATCATAGACGATATGTTTTAAAAACATCTTGACAATCTTATTTAAAATGGTAGAACTGTTATTATGCTAGTACTACGAGTGCGTTAGACACTTTCCAGTGAGTTATGTACATACACTATTTTTCTCACGGCCCCGCAACCCCACGACAAAAAAAACACGCGCCTAGGGCTCTCCGCCAATCGCACAACCTCTTACGTTATTTTCATATTTTCACATGTGTGGTTAGGAGAATAATCGATTCGTTCGATATCAGGTAATTATTCGCTGTAAGTATGGAAACAGTTATATTTTCGTATAAGATCGTGGGGAAAAGCATTTTTCGACAGTTCTCCTGTTTCTACATTACAATATTGTCAATATAATTTCAAAGTCACGGGCCACTCTGATCGCATGTTTTGACATTATGCACTGCCAGAAATTAATGAAATTATTTATTTTCGGTTTTTTCTTTTCGGGTAAAGCGGTTTTTCATTGTTCCAGGTGTATGTGTGGGGCGACACTTGGCAACAAGCGAAGACAATGACAGAATGCTACGACTATTTGTTCGACGTTGTAGTCCAAATGAAATCGCATGGACTGGATGCTCTGGTTAACACAAAATAAAAAACCAAATGTTATAAAAACAACAGAAGTTATGTTTCGATTTATTTTTAAATATACTCTACAAATATTTCACAACATAATTTATTTCTCGTATAACAATCGAATTAAATTGGACACTTCATACTTAAGCTAAAAGTCTTTAGATCCATTTATTTGAAGAGGAAAGTTTTCAAAATTATACATACAGACTGAGGCACATACAGACCTATGTAACATAATAAAGGTCCTGACCGATTTTCAGACACAACCCAAAATACATTCTCATATGCCACTATGCATTACTTGATAATATACAAGTCGAGTTATCTGTGAGAATGTATTTTGGGTTGCGTCTGAAAATCGGCTAAGGCCCTTATTATGATTATAAATGACTCACCCTGTATAGTAAATGAAATTGTGCACTAAGATGTCAGGTATCTACAGGGAAGTGCATTTTGGATATCCGAAACTAAGAGGTTTGACAAAAACGAGTGATACATTCAAGGATTCAGTTTTTGTGAAAATAATCTCGGTTAAAACCCCATCCCGTTACCGTCTTTTGTTTTCGACTTATAGACAAAAGTTGCTATTTTAACGAAATCTTAAAAAAATCTTCTTCGTTATTATTGAATATTTGAAATAAATACACTATACAGGCACTTTTTGCGTGAAATTTAATAATTCTATAATTTAACAATTTTTTTCAATTGTTTGGTTAGCCATAATAAGATACGTTTATGTTTTTCTAAACGGAATCCATAGGTGGCTATTGACTTTTCTGATGAGCTTATTTTCTCTGATCTAAAAATATACAATACAGAGTGCGCCAGAACTTGTGCCCCAGAGAAAAAATGACATTGTAAGGTAAGATACCAAGAACCTGGAAGAAATGTTTAAAAAATTCTATCTATAAAAATTTCGGAGATATGAGACTTTAAATTTTGCACTTTATTTATTTCTGTTTGAAAAGTTTTTTGCTACAGGCTATTAGAAGAGAAAACAAGGAAGCTGTGTCCTAAATTGTAGCTCTGTTTAATGTTATTTGTGGCTTTAATTGGCAAAATTTTTGTACCTTTATAATAGAGTTATGAAACACCCTGTATATATTTTTTAGATCAGAAAAACATAAGCTTCTCAAAAATGTCACAGCTACGATTTCCATTAAAAAAATACAAGTTTATCCAATTACGGCAAAATAAATGAATGAAACAAATCGTTAACTACATTATTAAATTCTACGTAAAAAAGGCCTGTATAATATCTTTATTTCAAATCTGAATCTTCTATAATAACGTAGATATGAATTTTCTCTATTCAGACATCCAAAATGCACCTCCCTGTACATTGTATAAAAGGACGGGGCATGCTGTAATTCGATATATTAAGAGCTTCAAAATAAAATGGCACAATAATTAATTTGTCATATACTTAATAGGAACAAAAATAAGCTTACTAAATGCATAAAATCACAATAGGATGACTAAAATGCACTCATATTAGAAGTTCTCTCATAAAAAAGCATGTAAGCTGTACTTTGCAATACTTCATCCACCATCACTTCGCGTATTTCCACATCAGACGTATAATACCACCTGTAAATAACACCTAGATAACTTTGTTTAATTAAATAGATCAATTTACTTTGTATTGTGGTGTCCTCTCCTATAGGTAATAAAATGTCCGGAATGTGCATCCCCGGTATGAACTACTACTGCCGCCAATTGGTAAACATTTCGAAATTCATTTGCCATTTCCGATAAGGACCCCACACCCCAAGACATGGGCATGCTGCTTGACAATGGGCTTCCACCTTCACTCGTGCTTGTATACACTGAATTTGTTAATTTTCGCTGATAATGAGCATGGACAAAAGTGTAAGCTGCCAACGACAGTCTCATTGGAAATTGGACGTAATCCTGACGTTTCGATATTCCACCTGGCTGCCAAGTATTACGTGATATATGTATGCAAAGACACACTGGGAGCTGAAATGTAAATTTACTGTAATCTGTCTGTTTCGAATTCAGAGTTGACAGACTAATAAAGTAATTTAGATATTTAATATTTAGGTACCAGCTATTTCGAAGCACTTTGTAATTTAATTCCGTTAATCAGGTTATAACGTATTCCTAATAGGTTCTGGAGTTCATTCATTACCATGAGATGTTCAATTCCACTAATGCATTTTCAAATAAGTAAGCAAATTCTCTATACTTGGGTTAGTTATAGGTCTGCAAAAATTTTGTGCAACTGTTTGATCATATTATTGTCTAAATCCAGTTTTTTCAATTTTTTGGTGGTGCAAGTTTTATTTCTTGCTGTGTTCGTCCGTATAACAACCTCGAATAAATATCCCAGAAATAATTCAAATTGAAACAATTGTTGAAATTTATTAGAAGAATATTTTGCAATGTATTTAAAAATCTTGTTTTTTCATTCTACATACAGAGTGCAACAGAACTCGCACCCCATAGAAAAATGTCATGTAAGGTAAGATACCAGGAACATTGAAAAAATGTTAAAAAATTCTGTTTATGAAAATTTCGAAGTTATGAGAGTTTAAATTTTGCACTTTATTTTTGTTGGAAAAATTATTTTCCAAGTTTTTTGCTACATGCTAATAGAAGAGGAAACAAGGAAGCTGTATCCTGAAGTGTAACTCTGTTTAATGTTATTTGTGGCTTTTATTGGCAAAATTTTCGCACCTTTACTAAATAATTATAAAAAAAACATCATTAGTAACATTAAATAGACATAAAAAATGTCAAATGTTAAAAAATAAATGTCAATTTTTTTTTTAATTTTTCCATGTTCCTTATGGCTTATTTTACTTAAAATATTTCTCTGGGGCGTGAGTTCTGACACAGCCTGTATACGAGCTGGCTGAAAAACGTTTTTGGATACAATGAAAGATTTTATTAAAAAAATATTGATTCATCTGTTAGTTATTATGAAACTTGGGTGTTTTCTTTAATTACACTTTTATACTTGTAAGTTTCAGATGTAAAGCTCAACTATTTGTTAAAATTCTGATAACTAAAAACTATACCTTATGGCATTTTTATTGCCATTATGCCCCTTTTCATAATTATTTTCATTGTGAAATAATTATAGGATCCAGCTATAACATAAATTGGGCTTTTAGACAGAAAAAAATATTTGTGACATATTCACCTTAAAAAGTGCAGTTTCAATGTTACCAGTACCAACATAAAAGTTCCGAGGTCAAACGCTTTATTATCAAAATTTTAGTGAAAGTTCCACAGTAGTTGCTTAAATCTGCTTTAAAAAAGTGCGAGTATCAATTCAAAGTTTTCAATATTTTTTGGAATTGTTCCCCGTGAGTCTAGTCACATTTTCATGAGGAAATATTTCAAATCAAGACTTCTATTCAAAATTTGAAATCGTTTTAAGGTGGAACATACCGATAATTATCAATTATAATAATCGTTTCATTATACTGCGTTTTTGCCAGGCCCAAAATTTTAAATTAGTTAAACGCCAATTCAGTAATTAATTATTTATCGCAATTTTACGACTGCGGTCACGATCGTAAAATATTATTCATCTTTAAATGAAAAGGAAACAAAAATCTGGATCGTGGGTGGTCAATACACACGTGGCGTCAGTTTTTTTTTTGAAGGTCAATTTATGATTTTTTAATTTTGTTTTTGTCTACTTTATGTGGTAGCTTTTGGGATCTGATGACCTTCTTCAAAATGTTGATTTACATTAAAAATGTGAGTTGACGTAAATTTTAGTATCTAAATTATTTATATATATTTTTTAGCCAAGAACTATTTAAAAAAAAGAGCTTTAATTTTGTCGTACACGTGCAATTTAAAGACTTGGCTAGTCTTACTAGATTGTGTTATAATTTATTGCATTTTTAAAATACAATAGATTGCATAACAAATAAATTTTAGTGTAAAGTACTGTTTTCTTCTAGGATCTTCATTGTGGCAGTATTAATTTATTTTAATAGTGTAAATAGTGCAGTGCAAACCGTAGTTTTAACCGCATTTTGCTTGATATTTTACAATACCGCATGTAACAATCAAGCTGCTGCTTCTGGATAGACAGCGTATCCCACTTTTAGTATAATTGACTTCCAGAATAAAGGTACCCAAATTTTTATTTCGCTTTTGAAACCGAGTTCCACGTCGTAATTGCGACTGACTTAGATTCAAAGCAAATCCGACAGATGACTCTTTGATTACTTTCGAAATCCGTGGGTTTAAAAATTTAGACTTAGTAGCTTATACACTTTTTTGTATAAAATTAAACTCACCTTCCCAAAATTAAGTATTTTAATTTGCTTGGATAAAATAGGCGGCATCGCCGGATCACGACCACTGTTACAACCTTCACACTGAACATCAGGTACAACTTCTGGAGTTACAAAATTCGTAAGCAACTGATGTAATTTATGCCTTCCCCAACCTAAATCACCCGCTCCACTGGGTAATGCTAACGAAAGACTTTCAAATTTATCATAACGGACACTAGACTGAAAAAAACATACATAATCTATCACCCTTTCAAAGTCTGTTTGGATACCTTATGGCCACATTCAGTACATCTTAACTGACTGGTTAAAGTACCAGTAAAAGGATGTGAAACAGGTTGTTGTGGAGGTCCTGACATTTGCAGAGCCCGACAAGATCTCGAAATCCATCGGTTTCGTCTAATCGCGGTGCCTCTCCAATTTAAACTACTCGGCCTACATAATTCATTTAAGGACATAACACTGCCTAAAGTATTAAATTCGGAAGTTTCTTCTTCTGGTTCAGTGACATCCAATTCATTCATGCCCAAAGCATCAGATAAACAACCGGCCTAAAATCACAAATTAGAGTAAAAATCAAAGTCATCTAAAATACAACTTTTCTTGTAATTTTGTGAGTCTCTTCATCCAAAGTGGTTAGAAGCACGTTTAGTAATTCGTGAGCGTCTTGCTCGCCTGCAGGGATAACCCAACCAAGCCGTTTCAAAGCATTAATAACAGCAGCTGGTGCGTAAGTCTCCTTAACGGACTTATTAGTACCATTAACAACTAAAAAAATCACTTTTAACTAAAAGTGCTACACATACAGAATGTTCCACGTAACCACCCCTATGAACTTTCAATGCAACCAGTTTCACATTTTTGTTATTAAAATCCTACGAAGGACTTGAAATACCTTTTAATTGATAAAAAAGGATTGTCAAGTGGTTATCGAGGATGCCTTGATTTCTCAAATTTCATACAATACGAACCTTTCAATATGAAAGGACATCAATAGTGCGTTGCGTTTAAAGTTTAAAAACTCTTCAGGGTCGTAACTGACATGATTTAGGCCTTTTTTATTAAATATTCCAAGTCCAAGCCTTTACACATAAACATTTTGAAAGTATTTTGGACTAGAGAATGACTGTTAATACTGGCATTGAAAACAAACTGCTATATTTAGTACTGCTACATAAAATCAAACCGTGAACTATATTACAAACCAGCATTACAAAAATAATCACCAAATTAATGCATATTCATGGGTTTGGGCATTTAACTTTTGTGGTTTACCTGATAAAACGGTTGCCAAAGTTCTTCTTAGACTTGTTTCTTTCACACATCTGTCTTTTTCCAACCAGTCAATGAATTGCGGGCAGGCTGCCAGTGCATGCAAAACAGCATTAAGGAAACAAGTCTTCCCCAAATTGACTAAGCCAGCTAAACGTCCTCGACCACTGCCAGATGTTGTCGCAGGGCCCCAGAAGACAAATGCTCCAACAACTGCAGCTGCGGTGAGGCCTGCTGCGACTAAAATTCGATCAGATTCCATGCTGAAATAAAATGCGCTTTAAACATGAACCAGTTATTTAAATCTAACCTCACTTTTAATTATATCATGTAAACCATATTCGCTCTTTTAGAACTGAAATAGATCACTAGAAATTTTAAAACACTTGTCTGTAAAATGAAAATATTTTAATAAAATTGTTGAATTTGTTTAAAGAATATTTTTGTCTGTCAAAATGTCAAATAGACAAACACAATAATGTAACCAACCGAGGAGCGCAATTTTAATTTTTTTAGAATAATTGTTTATGTTCCTTGTTGTATGTGCCAAATTAAGTTTAACAAATTCTTTTTGTGATCTAATTTTAATAATTATGTTTATATTATTTAAACAAAATTGAAATGATTTAATATAATTTGTGCTAGGGACTTTTGCGTTTTGGTCGTGGTAGCAAAATCAATTTTCCTGTTTGTTGACAGTTGTCATTTAGTTAAGTCAAATTTGGTTAAATTTAAAAACGATGGATGAAAATTCGCAAAATAGTGTATATAATCTAATCACAAACTTGTGTGAAACATTTTCTTATGATCAAACTGTAGTTAAGAAACTTCGATCAAAAGCCTACGAAATTTTGTTGAAAAAGACAAGCCACAATTCAACAAGTACGTTGTTAATCAATCTGTTTCAGCTTATTTTACACTATTTTTAAGGTCAGAGACATTTCAAAGGCCTCGATCCTTACAGTAATTTATTAGCATGGCAATTTACACTGGCAACAAAGTACAATTTAGTAGAACACAGTTTAAAATTGAAGGAATGTGGGGAGTATGTCCAAAACTATTATGATGAACACATAATTCAGTTTTTGTTATGTTTGCGGAATGTTCCGGTTGAAAAAGATGATTCTGTGGTAAGTGTCCTCGAAATAAGAATTCTTTTATTTAAATACGTTTTGAAGGATTTTGAGCTACCTTTTGATATTAAAAGTTTATATAAAATGCCATCAACATCTAAAAGCGATTGTTCAGATACGCTTATAGACATTGCTGATAGCTGTTCATCAGCAGATGTGTGGGCTGAGGCATCGAAACTAACATTTAGCAACAGGAAAAATTGGGAGGATTTTGGACATTCTGAACCTGATAAGGAAAAACCGTTTTTGTGCGAATTAGGGGAATTGTCTCATTTATGGGTCGAAAATTTACCTTCTGTTTATTTCTCATGCGTTTTGCAAGATGATATTACTGTTGAACCACTTCTCTAACACAACACAACAGTTCAGTTATTTGGACTTTTTAATTCTTAAAAACACTATACCGCAGAAGTAGTATATAAATTGTTACTTCTGGGCCAGGACATTTGGCGTCTTAAAAAACAAGGCAAAATCTTACAAATTTAGCTGTTTGCCCAAAAGCAAATAACCGAATAGGGCCCAAAACCTCTCAAAAATTATTAATTTTTATCCACCCCAAAAGTTCCCAAATATGTGTAGACCACCAAAGATTGGGCACACGAAAAAACCGTTAAAATCTCCCAAAATCATGTAAAATTATCTCACGAGCACTCTAAAAAACTCACAACATACCGTGTTTTTAGACACTCCAAAATGGCTTTTTATTTCTGGACCAGACCAATTGGCGCATGCAAAAAAAAGAGAAAGACAACACCAAATCAAAGAGGTATATTTGGCGCCTTACAAACTAATGTAGTGAAATTCYTTTAAAAATCATAATTTTTTATGCTCCCAAAAAATACTCGAAACTCAATAGACCACCAGAAAATGGGCACATGGGAAAATCATCCAAAATCAAACAAAATAACATTAAAAGCACCCAAAAAACCTTACAACATTTCTTGTTTTGAGACACCCCACTTCTGGAGAAAGGATTGGCACATGCAAAAAATTCACCGGTCGGTGTGGCGACCAGTAATAATATTAAACAAATAAAAGCTCTTGTTTTTAAATTCCCAAAATGGCTTTTTTATTTCTGGACCAGGATAATAATTGCTAAAATTTAAAAAAAACAGACCTTAAAAAAGCCAGAGTTCTTATTCACATCCCTCGGTTTGCAACACCC